CAGAGGCTGGATGGCCATCTGTCGGGGATGCTTTGATTTTGAGTTCAAAGGGCAGGGAGTTGGACTGGGTGGCCCTTGTGGTTTCTTCCAACTCTATGATTCTAATTTGAACTGAAGTCTAGGAGGGGAAAAAGGAGGAAGGTTTCCTAACCTTCTCTCCTTCCTCCGTGTTCCCCACCAAAAATTGTTCCTCAGGCTGCTTTTATCCTTGCTGTGGAAAAGAAAGAAGTATTAAGATTTCTTCTCCAAATACAGCAAAAGCATTTACTGAGATAGTAAGAAGTGGGAAGATAACTAATGCAAAATACCTTTAATATCAGGAAAGTAAGTGGGATTGTGTTCTGGGAGTTGATGGGACAGCATGTGTTCCCAAGGCTGATTCCAGATTTTCAAACTATAGTTTCCAGGGAGCCAACTCTACATCTGTACCAGGCCAGTATGTCAATTAGTTACAGATGGAACAAAACAGCAGAAGAAAAATAGCCTGTCAAACTGCAAAATATTTATCTTTTGTATTATGTGTTGTAAAGTATACAAGTTTGTCATAAATAAATATTGCATTATAAAATGAAAGCCCTTTACAGTTCACAACATGAATATTTATCTCCTCATGAGTACAATGTATTCACATACAGTTTTAAGGATCGATGAAGGTGATGTTTACACATTCTATCCTGGACACATAAGCCTTAAATAATTAGTAATAACTGTGTATCCAAAATCATGGTCAGCTCCATTATAATAATGTTCCACTGTAACAAGTACACATCTCAACATTCTTTCCATGTGCAAGCCTGCTGAAAGTTCATTCTGAACACTGTATACATCTTTCAGATCACTATTATTATACAGTGGACCCTTGTATCTGCAGGGAATTGCTTCCAGGGCCTTTCTACAGATATCAAAAAACATGGATGCTCAAGTCCCTTATATAAAGGAACTTTACAGTATATAATACTTGAGTGCCTCTCAGTCTCTTCCACCTCTCCAAGCACACATCGAAGGAAACCGCCATGCTGCTGCACACACGAGCCCCATGTTTCCCTCCTAGCCTCCACTGACACTTAAAAAGGTAAAGGTTTCCCCTTTGACAAGGTGGTTAAGTCAAGTCTGAATCTAGAGGGCAGTGCTCATCTCTGTTACTAAACCAAAGAACCAGTGTTGTCAAAGATGACTCTGTGGTCATGTGGCCAGCATGTCTGCACAGAATGCTGTTACTACTTACTTCCCTCTTTTCCTCTCTTCCTCTGCCCCATACACTGAAGGCAGCAGCAATAGCTGCTGCACCCACAAACCCCGTCCTCCTGTGACACTCACTTCCCTCTTTTCCTCTCTATCCCATGAGCATAGTAAGGGGCAGCCACCAGGATGCACGCAACCCCAGCCTCCTCTCCTCACCCCAACCTGACAGTCACGTCTCTCTCTTCTTTTCTGTCTGCTCCATGCAGACATCAAAGTCAGCTGTCACTGCTGGGTACACGAGCCTCAGCCTCCTCTTCCCACCCCTACACTCACCTTCCTCTGCCCTGTATGCCACCAAAGGCAGTAGCTGCCACTGCCGCAAGACAAAAAGCAAGAAGGAAGTGAATGTCAGGGTGGGGAGAGTAGGCTGGGGCTTGCATGCCTGGCTGCTTTCAGCGAGCACATAGGGCTGAGAGCAAGAGAGGAAAGTGAGTGCCATGGAAGGCTGGGCTTGTGTGCCTGGTGGTGGTAGCTACCCCCGTCTCTCCTCTCCTCTGCCCCACTTCATTTTTGATCTACAGTTGACTGAATCCACAAACACAGAGCTGCTGGCTAAGGAAAGCCCATTGTGCCAGGACGACAACTTCCCTCCCACACGTGGAGGCTGCACATACCTTCTTTCACACTTTCGAATTGGGGTGGGTAAAGTGCAGCCGGAGGCCTGTGTGCACCCTCAGGACCATTTTAGTGCCCTTAGGGTAATTTTTGTTTCCTTTTTATTTTTTTGCTCCAAAATGCCCAAAAATAATCTCTAGGGGCTGTGAAGGGCAATTCCACCCCATATGGACCCCCTAGACCCCTCATGGAACCAAAAGAAAATTTTGCAAAATCTGTTTGCTTGGTTTTTTTTTAAAAAAAATGTCTCAAAATGCCGTCTAGGGAGACATGAAGTCCCCAGAACATGCCCCCATGTCCCCTAGAGGGTGCTGGGGGGCAAAAAAAAAATCTTCATTTGTTTTCTGCAGCAGTAGGTGTGGTTGCAGGTGCAGCCCTCCAAAAATCTTCTGGGAAGCTAATGCTGCTCCTAGTCTTCCACAATTGCCCACGCTTGCTTTAGAAGTCAAAATCCATGCATGCCTCCCTGCCCTACCACAGACCACATCCCAAACTGGGATTTTTAAAAACTTAAAATAGCCCCTCACACCCTCTGGAAGCACACCCTAATTCTGACATTTCCCTGCACAAGCTATTTTAGGTGCAGAGGAAGATATCATTTCTGATCATCCTCATTTTCAAAAAAAAAAAAGGCAAAAAAACCTAAAACAGCTAGAGGGAGTGTAAAAATCCTCCTCCATCCTCTTAGAACCTTTTGAAATAAAAAGTGAAAGTGAAAAATGGAGTGTGGGGGGCTGCACTGGGGTTTAAATGCAGTCTATGAGCTCTACTTTGCCCAATCTGCCTTATACAGTGTACGACTGCAAGAAAGAGTGACAAAAAGAAGATAAAGGAATATCTTTGTCAAAACACAGTATCTTTGTATGCATAAACTATTGCCTTGAGAGAAAGGATGCATTTATTAATTTATTCCACTTTTATCCCACCTTTCTTCCAAAATGGGAGATAACAATCAAGAAAGACATCTATTGGCCCCTAGTTGTTCAACACTGCTTTTCCTCTGTGTCATTTGTATTATTTATTCTATTCTTGCTGTTGTCACTGTTATTTCAATTTACTAAACAAGTTTTTAAAAAAGAATAAAACAATGTTATGAAGAATCATACCTCTCTACAACAGAAAGAAAAAGAAATCATATGAATAATCAGCTGGCATACCTATTCTATGTCCTCAAAAGATGTGAAATTTCTTCACAGTGAAAAGGGATTAGTCCTCAGTTCAAACCAAGGTTTCAATTAATCACTTGCCATCATACACTTGGTCCAACAATTCATATTATTCTCATTCACCAAATGAAGCAATGCATCTGTACTATGTATAAGATCTGTGACATTTACACTGATATGCTGAAGGTGGCTTTGGTTGACTGGCTTTTGTTTCTTTTATTACTGATGTATTTTTAATCTGCTTTAGATGTATTATTATCTAAGTTTATTAGTCAGCTGCCTCATGTGCCTTTTTGGCATAAAATACATTTGCTAAATAAATAAGCCAAGTGTAATACATTTAATATTTCATTTAATAAAAAATAAGCCAACATTCTTACTGAAAATTCCTTAAAAACATGTATCATAAGAAACTCACCATTCAGGCCCAAAGTTAAGTGTCTGAGTTTCTGCTGCCATTTTTTTTTAAAAAAAGTATTAACCTGGAAAAAAAAAAGAGATCATGAGTCCACACCCTCTTGTCAACAAATGAAAAGCTATAGCTAGAAGTCCCAATGTAGACACTCTCAACTGCATCAGTATTCAGAAGTGGACATTCTTGTTGCTAAACAAATGAGAGAGGAGGAGATCATAAGTTTTTCAGAGTGGGGAGGCACATGATGAAGCAAAGCTACTAAATCTCTCTCCCAGGGGTAGTTCTAGATCAACTTTTTGAAAATTCTATCTTATGAAGTTTCCCAAATGCTGAAAAAAAATCTTTCTATTTTCAACATATAAAAACCCAGTGTTGTTACCAGGGCCCAAAAATTTTGACATGATTTACTAGCCAGGCATAATACATATAAATCACTCAGCACCAAATTGAAGCCAGAGGTGTCTCTTTCATCATGCTGGGTTCTGGTGCAAGCAGAAATAGCACATTATTTTCTGCATCAACGATCAGCAGAAATCTGACCACAGAGTGGTCCACAGTCTTATCTTTTTAGATTGTAAGCCTGAGGGCAGGAAACCATCTAATTAATACATTTGTAAGCTGCTCTGATAGCCTTTTGGCTGAAGAGCGGGGTATAAATACATAATAATAATAATAATAACTCCGCAAAACCCCCATGACATCCAAGATGAGGAGAGCTAGGGATTTCAATGCTGTGTGGCCTTGACTATACTTACAGTTATACTTATAAACTATTCATCAGATCATAAAGAACAGACATTCATTTGATCAACCATAAATAGTAAGAAATGCCTGTAATAAACCAGGCCAAGGAACTTTTACAGACAGGAATGGAGTTGACCTGTCATTCAATCTACTTATGTGCCATAAATAACTAAGACGAGACTATGTGTGCAGTCTAGTAACTTACAATATTGTACATATAAGAGCAGTGTGTTTGTTTTTGCTCAATGATGTTTTTGCTCAATTTTGTTGCTTTTCTTAAGGAAGTTATAGTGCTCAAACTCCATCAGCTCTTACATAGTAAGGATAGCAAACTGATAGGGGTTCAAGGGCAGTGGTGGCCTGCTATAGATCCAGTCTCTGCCACTACACATTCCATTTTTTAAAAGTTTACGCTGCCACTACACACCACTAAGAGGGTTCAGGGAGCATTTTCAGTAAGAAGATGGGAAGGTGTGACTGTCCCAAAATGGCCTTAGGTTTTGCCTGTGCCCTATCCCTGTTAAATAACAGGCAACTCTTTTATGATGTCTCTGTGCTGTAAACTTGAGTTGGGAGTTGAACTTTGTTGCTGTGTTCTATCAAGTAGTTTCTGACTTACAGTGAACCTAAGTGGGGTTATGGCGACTTATGGTAACCCTATCATGGGGATTTCTTGGCAAGATTTGTTCAAAGGGGGTTTGTCTTTGCCTTCCTCTGATGTAGAGAGAATGTGACTTCCCAATGTCACCCAGTGGGTTTCCATGTACGAGCAGGCATTTGAACCCTGGTCTCCAGAGTCCTAGTTCAACACTCAAACCACTAAACCACACTGGTTGTCAGAAGTTGAAGTACTGCATTGTATTTGGTTTTCCTCCTACTTAGATATTTGATTCCAAAAAATGGTGCTGAAGGATGCTTCCCTGCCCACTGACAGTTGTGCTGTGGGGCTCCACAGGACTCCATTCCACTTTGCTATTTAACATTCACATGAAATCACTGCAAGAGATCATCTGAATATTCCAAAACAAGGTAACCTGATAATTAATACACTAACAATAACAATCCTAATACAGCAGTGGTCTGTAGAAATAACAACTGTGTAACAATAAGATATTCAACAATATTCAAGCCCTATAGGCAGGAGGTTGATTTTAATGGTGGTCGTCCCTCTGTGAATATTCAAAACCACAGACCTCAAGTCCACGAGAACAGAGGGACGACTCTACAAGGATATTGTATATTGGTTGACATTTTGTATATTGCCTTTTATATGCTAGGTTTGGAAATACACACACACCTTTTCCACATGTCTTAATTATACATTTGTATAATTTACGTTTCATATACTTGTAGTTTACGCTGGCCATTATACTAGTTGCATGACTAGTATGACTATATATGCTTTATATAGCTTGTTGTTGTATGATTGTTATTTCTACAGACCACTGCTATACCAGGATTGTTGTTGTTAGTCATCTGAAGACTGACAGCTACTAATATATCTGTGGCACCCACAGAGCGTGTTCTCATTTTCTCCTTTTTTCAATGAATCCAGGTGAAATCAGCACCAGGGTCTGAAACGGTCTTCATGACAGCCAACTGAAAATCAAGATGAGAGAGATGTTGGTACTAGATAGATTATCTGTCCATTTTGAGTGGTGTTCAACCCTTTCTCAGAGGAGTTGCACTCTCTCCAGAGGGTCAGGTCTGTATTTAGATAAATGCGCTCAAATCTTAAACAATGACAGTAGGTACGTTACAGAGGCATACCAACAGCAATCCTATCCAGACAAAAACATCCATGTACTGGTAGCTTCGTTTTTGGATCACTTGCTGTGCACTAAATGCAGGCCTGCTTTTGAACACATTTCAGAATGGAAAGCAATGTTATTAACCAAGACTAACTGATATGACCAGAAAATGCAACAATTTTTATCTGTTCCAGCTATTCTTTTTCCAGGTCAAATCAAATGTGCTGGGTATTATCAGCTCATTAGGGTTGGGGTGACTGACTTAGCAGTTGCTCCTCCGTTTTCATGGGGGGTCCGTTCCAGGCCCCCCACAAAAATGGAATACCACAAATATTCAAGCCCCATAAATTTGAATGGGGGTGTATGCCTGCGGGCACACCCCCACCCCTATTTTATACCCCTCCATTTCCCACCTGCAAACTGGCGAGAGACCATGAAAACAGAGGGACAACTGTATATCACAGGGGGCAAGTCCAAAGCAAGTAAAAGCATTCATCCCCAAATTTCCTTCCACCCTGGCAGAGTATTGTGACCAAAAAAAATGAAAGTAAAAATCAAGCCATACAAAATTATTCAATTTATAACTTTTGTTATTTTTCCTTCCTTCCTGACCCACCCAGGTAGTGGAAAATATTTCTGTAATCTTTGTGTGAAACACCACAGGGCAACTCCTAATCCTCATATTCTTCTTTTGTCTAAAAAAAAGTAAATATCAACACTGATAGAATAAAAGCAAATAAGTGAATCTATTGATATGCAAAAAATAAAAATCAGAAAAACAGAGTCAAAATTTTAATTTTTTTACACATTTTTTATTCCACTGTTATTTCCCTTTTCGGATCCCTTCCAAAGATAGCAACCTAATATTTTCCAGTCAATTTTCAAAACAGTGCTCACCATGGAAACATTTGGTTAGCATTAGTAGACACATCCATAGGGCAGGCATAACAGAGGTCTCTAGAAGCAATATGCACAGCATCTGGCATAAGATGCTCTACTCTCTTCATTCAGAAAGCAGAAATTTCTCAGAGAGGCCTGCCAGTGTCTTGTAAGAGGAACTACAGCAACAGCACCATCCAGAGCAACAAAAGGCTTGGCTGAATGGAGGTGGGAAGGGAGAGAAGAAAATCAACTAGTGTTAAACTTTTGCGGGTTTAACATTCACAAATTTGATTATTCTTGAGTTTGCCCTGCATTCCTCCCCCTTTGGGGGGAATAAAGCCCTGCAGGGAGGAGCCGAGAAGAGCACACTGACACACACCCCACAGCAGCATGGGAGGTGGTGAGAGGGGCATGCATGCACAATCCCTTCCCTCCTCATGCTTTATCATGCTGAGGGAAGCCATCTAAACCATAGAGGAAGGCAGGAGGAGTGTGTGCACAAAGGGGGAAGGGGAGCAAATGCACACCCCTCCTACTTTCCCCCACTTATTCACAGTTTTTCCATTTTTGTGGGGGTCTTGAGCCCCTAATGGCCATGAATAAGGAGGGTAGACTGTACCTGTGAAAACTAAATAGTAAAACTGATGGCAGCCACTACTTTGCTGAATTGATTTATTTACAGGGAAGGGGGACTGGTGGTCTGGTGGTCAGGGCATCCACAGAGGCTACAGTAGATGGGGTGTGCACACCTGCTTTAAAGTTAATGGTAATAAGCCAGGTTGCCAGATGACTCATCAGCTATCACATCTTCCTACCTGCATATCAAGATCAGCATAAGATTAAAGACCCTCCATTCATCCCAAATGCCACTGTCCTGGCTGAGGAAGGAAAGAAAAGACAGGCACAGCTCATCATGCCTAGGCCCAGAACCTGATGAAAGGCCCTCTCTCCATCCCAACTGCCACTGCACTGGTCTCCGAGGGAGAGAAGTACTGGAAGTATCTGCTGGACTTGACATCCCCTTTTTCTTTGTGTCTTGTCTTATTTAGATTGTAAGTCTGAAGACAGGGAACTGACAAATTAACCATTTGTAAGCCACTAAATATAAGGGATGCACTGGCTCAAGTGGTTAAGACACTGACTCTGTTGATTGTAAGATCGGCAGGTTGGCAGTTCGAGGCCCCAGTGCTGCATGATGTGGTGAGCTCCCATCACTGGTCCCAGCTTCTGCCAACCTAGCAGTTCGAAAGCATGCAAATGAAATCAATAAATAGTTATCACTTCTCAGTGGGAAGGTAAACAGCGTTTTGTACCATCATGCTGGCCACATGATCACAGGGTAGTCTCTGACAACACTGGCTCTTTGGCTTAGTAACAGAGATGAGCACCACCACCTACAGTCGGACACGACTTGACAACCTTGTCAATGGGGAAAACCGTTACCTTTTACCTAAGCCACTAAATAAGTAAATAAACTATCATTTTCAGAGGTTTTCCTATAGATACTTCCACCTAATGAGGTGCATGAATAGCCACTAGAATCGGCCTTCCTAACCCCAGTTAGTAAATGCCCTCTCCATAGAACTTGGACAGTGCCACAATATACTATATTGATACCAGGTGAAAATCTTGTCCTCTCAGTTTTTAGTTTTAAGATTAATGTTTTTAGCTCTGTTATAGCTAGCTGCCTCTGGGTCAATTTTGATTTATGGCGACCCCATATATGAGACACCTCCAAGCCTTTCTATCCTCAACTGCTCTGCTCAGCTTCTGCAGGCTCAGTAGCATGATCTCCCTGATTATCCATATATTATGTGGTCTTCCTCTTTTTCTACTGCCCTCCACCTTTCCTAGCATGATAAGTCTTCTCTAGTGAGTCATGACTTCTTATGATGTTCCAAAGCATGACAGCCTCAATTTAATCATCTTGACTTACAGGGAAAATTTAAGGTTTAATCTGTTCTAGGTTTTTGCCATCGATGGTACCCTCAGCACTATTCTCCAGCACCGGATCTCAAATAAGTTAATTTTCTTTTTATCAGCTTTCTTCACTGTTCAGTTCCCACATCCGTACATTCTTATGGGAAATACAATGGCTTGGATGATCCTCTGATGCTCTGACCTCTTTTTTAATTCTTTGCACTTTAAAATCTTCTCAAGTTCTTTCATAGCTGCCCTTCCCCATCCTAGTCTTCTTCTAATTTCTTGACTGCAATCCCCATTCCAATCAATGATTGAGCCAAGGTATGATAAATGCTTAACTATTTCAATTTCCTCATTGCCTAGCTTGAATTTCTGTAACTCCTCTGTGGCCATTATTTTCGTTTTCTTGATGTTCAACATTAAGCTTGCCTTAGCACTTTAGTCTCTGAATTTCTTTAGTAACTGTTTCAAGTCTTTGATGTTTTCTGCTAGCAGTATGGTGTCATCTGTATCTTCTATTCCTTCCTCCAATCTTCACTTCTCCTTCGTGTATTTAAACCTGATCTGTATATATTTTCTGTGTACAGGTTATATACAGATGAGTTCTTTCCAATTCAAAAAACATTCTGCTTCTCCGTATTCTATATTGACAGTAGCCTCCTGATACAGGTTATGTATCAGAACAATCAAATATAATGATACATTTGATTTCTTTAAGACCAATCCACAGTTTTTGTGATCTATACAGTCAAATGTTTTGCTGAAGTCTATGAAGCATCGGCTGATTTTCTTCTGGAATTCTCTGGTGCGCCCCATTAGCCCTGGTGGTGCAATGGTTAAATGCCAGTACTGCAGCCACTCACTCACAAACCACAAGGTTGTGAGTTCAATGCCAGCTTAGGGTTGACTCAGTCTGGCATCCTTCTGAGGTCGCTAAAATGAGTACCCAGATTGTTGGGGGTAATTAGCTTACAGTTGTAAACCGCTTAGAGAGTGATTAGTGCAGTATGAAGTGGTATATAAATAAAACTGCTATTGCTATTTATACGTTTGCAATGTGTCCCCTAGAGCCGCTTCCTTTCCTGAGCCTTGCTTGCACCTCTGGAATTTCTTGTTGCATATATGGCAGGAGTCTTTGCTGCAAAATTTTAAGCATGACTTTGCTTGTACAGGGAACTAATGCAATGACCCTGCAGTTGATACACTCTTTTGTATCTCCTTTTCTGGGGATCAGGAATGTATATTGATTGTTCCCAATCCATGGGGCATTGTTTTGTT